GCGGGGGGGAACCAGGGCTTGTCCGCAGGCCTGGTGGACAGACCACCTCTAGGCCTCTGGGACGTGCATCACTCCCGGGCTCAGCAAAGCCTCCCCCAGGCTGGGCAGGGATGTGGTGCCCCCCACAGAAATAAGCCTCAACCCGCCAACCTCAATCCCCAGGGGTTGCCTAGAGAAGAGACAGCCCCTCGCATGGATCCGACAACCTTCATGCAGGGCTGTCCAGGGCAATCACCCCAGCCCAGGCCGCCCAGGGGCTCAGATCCCCCCAGCAGCACCTCTGACTGCAGCCTGGGGGAGTGGGGGGATGTCCTAACAAGCCTTTAGGAAACTTGAGGAACCTGTGCAAAGATGCAGTGCAAATCATAGCTGTTAATGCCCGGGCAGGCAGGAGCCTGGACTGCCACCGCTTGGCTGTACGGTCCTGGGCAAGTCACTTAGCCCCACAGGGCATGTATAGCTGGGGAAGTGGAGGACAGGAGCTGCAGCCTGCGGGCGCCTGGGCAGTGCCATTCACCCCTGGGGAGCATCCGGGCTGGATGGGCGCTCACTGGCTTTGCCAAGGTCAAGGCCATGTCCTGGTGCCGCCATCAGAAGTGAGCTGGTGACACCTAGCGCCTGCAGCAGGGAAGTGCATGGTGAGGGGCACAGATTGGTGTGTGAAGTAATAGGGGGTGACACTGTGAACCAGAGGGGTTTGCTGTTCCTTCCCCAACCCCTCACTTCCAGTCCTGGGGGGTTTCCTCTTCCCCCAACCCCGGGTGCTCCAGGCCCCAATCAGCTCCCGAGAGAGCCCCCTGGTTCCATGGAAACCCTGGCAGCCTCCAGACACGGCTCAGAGGAGGGGGAAGAGCATGTCAGAGGTCACTACATGGGGGGGCGGAGGGGGGCGAGCATACAGCAGAGGCCCCAGCCCCACCAATGCAAGCTACAGGAGAGTGGAGGGCAGTGGATGGCTGCTTTCAGGTCCTGCCCCATTCCAGTACACCCCGGTTGGTGACTAGGGCTGTGCATTCCCCCCCATAGGAGTCAATCCCAGCCCTCCTGAGGCTGTGGGAGGGGTTGTGGGGGAGTCATACCCAGGGCAGCCCCAGGTCTCCCCTGCAGGAAGGCCTCCTCCAGGTGCTGCTGGGGGGATCCCAGCCCCTGCTGCTCCACGGGTCAACCTCTTCCCCTGGGTCTAACTATGAGCTGCCCTGGGGGGCCCCGGTGCCCCTAATTCCCCCGTCTAGTCCTGGTCCGCCCCCCACCAGAGCTCTGCCAATGCCCCTTGCACCCACCCGCTGCTACCTGAAGCCGAAGGCTCCCTCCGTGCTGCCCAGCAGCCTCCCATGCAGGACCCAAGAGCATCACCTGCCCCTTTCACTAACCCCAGCCCCCTACAAAATCATAAGAGGACACGGGTTGGGCAGGATTCCTCGTGTATTGATTTGGGGAGGAAGAACAGGAACATTGCTAACATTTCCACTCAGCGAGATGCGGTGAAGCGGGAATAGAGCCGGGGTGGTTGGCAGGTTATCAGCAAACAGTGTCTTCTCTGGGAGGAAAAGGGCCCCACTGGGCTGACCTTAGTGTTGATCGTGGGGGCGGGCAAGGACAAGGCAACGGAGTAGGCGGCTGGACCCAGTGCTGGGCAGGGAGGGGAGCGTGGTGAGCTTCCTTTAACAGTGCCACACATGCAGTGCATGTGCCACTGAAGGCAGCAGGGCGCTAGAGACTGGCTAGGCCCTGTTGGAGTGTCTGGACCCATCTCAAAACAGTAATACAAAAAAAAATCAGAGGGGGTGGGAACTATCTCCTGCAGTCCTTGTGAGCCCTCAGGTCCAGAATGGGCTTGGGGGACAGCTCCTGTCCCCTAGGCAGACCCCCAACTTCCTGGACCCCCAACTTCCTGCTGAAGGCAGGGGATAGGTGTGGGGTGGGGAGAGGGACAGGATCGGACCCACAGCAGAGCAGAAGCAGCAAAAAGGCTTCAGCTCACAGGGCTACATCATGGCTGGCATCAAGCTGCTCCACAGAGCCAGATTTTCCCCCAGGCAAAGCCCTGGCCCCACCACCCCTTAGCACAATCCCTAAACCTACAGACCTTGAAGATCAGCCTGGGGCGGCCCCTGGTCCCTGGACTAGCAACAAGCACGTTCAGAAACTCTGCGTCGCTTTTAACACCCCATTGCCCTCGTCTGGTCTCGACCGCAGACCCTAAGCTACAACCCAGCTCTGTCTCTCTCTAGACAAGCTCTCTCCTTCCTCTCGTGCTCGACACCGCCCCTTTTAAGGCACAATGTGGCTGCTTATTCATGTATACATATACATATATATAAAAGCAATTAATGCCTCAGATGAATAATACAGTATGAAAAAAATGGGTCTTTCCCATGGCAAGAGCAGGGAGCAATGGGAGTAAGCGCGGTAGACAGGACAAGGTGGGTCGGGAGGTAATGCCCTGGGTATGAAACCAATGGGAAAATCAATGAGAACATCGTTCAGGCTTCTTGTGTGCACCCCTCCATGCAGAAAGTGATGGGAAAATGGGAGGATCTGGGCCCACCTGGGACCCTCATAGATGATTCCTGTGAGAGGAGGGGCCAGGAGCCTTAGTGCACAGGAGAATCGAGCCTCAGGGACTGGATTTTCCTTTTCAAAGCACAATTTTCCTATGCTAAAGCTCATCCCGCAGTCTTGAAATGAGCTTTGCTTTCGGGTCTAGCACATGGCTTTGAAGAGCAACACAGCCTCGCCCCTCCCAAAGACAGAGGTAGGAGGGGCCCATCTCGAATGGCTTCACATCAAACTCCCATACAAAAATCTTTGGCAAAAAATATACATCTAAAGAGCTATTAAACTACCTTTTTTTCTCATTCTCTCTTTTTATTTTTTTTTTGGCAACCACCGTTCATCAACTTGTTTGGCTTCGGTATTTAAAAAATGCAGCAGCTGAATAAGCTCTTGTTTGTGTGTGGGCTTTTTCTCTACAGAAATAGATTTTCTTTCTTTAAAAAAAAAAAATCAAAGCGTCGTTTTGCATTTTATAAAAATATATAAATTCCTGCGGTAGAAAACAAAACAAAAAAATCTCAACCTTTCTTGGTTTCTTTTAAAAATGGGAGGGGACAGGGGGCAGAAGGTACATTTGCTTTAAGGGAAAAATAGCTTGCTATGGCAGGTTTTTTTGGCCAGGATGGATACCTCCAACTGGTTACATGATGCTGCACTTTTGAGGAACCTGGAAAAGAAAAGAGGAAATAAATAAATAAATAAGTAAATTTACAAGTGATAAAGGCTGTAGATAGCAGATACCAGCCAGAGAAGTAATTGCTCTACTGCTGCTTATTCCAACACATTGAAAACATAAAGTAGAAATACTCAGATCCACTAATAAGAGATCTTTGCTTTCATCACAGAAATCAGTCTAATTTTCTCCACTTTACAAATGAAATGCAGCATTGATAACCCTGGCATATTCATGGTAGGATATTGGGATAATAATATTAATTAAATAGTAATAATTGAATCTTCAGCTAGTAACATTAATCTAGCTGTCAATTAATTAGGAGCAAAGAAAGGGGCTGGAAAGGACCTCATGAAGTTGCATCTAGTTAAGGCAGGATAAGGCCTGACTCAACCCTCCCAGCCCGGTGTCTGTTCAACCTGCTCCTGGACATTTCCAGGGAGGGAAACTAGACCTGTTCCAAGGCTCCACCACCCCAGAGCCAGCAAGTTCCTCATCTCCGGCCTCAGGTCCCCCTGCTGCAGCTTGAGGCTATTGCTCTTCGTCTCATCCCTACGCCACAGGGAAAAGCCCATCTGCACCTTTGCTGTCATTGCCCTTCAGGTATTTCGTAGAATCACAGAAAATGAGGGTGGGAAGGGACCTCAGGAGCTCACAGGTAGTCCAACCCCCTGCTCAAAGCAGGATCAGCTCCAACTACATCATCCCAGCCAAGGCTTTGTCTATGCTGGGCTTAAAAAGGATGGAGACTCCACCACCTCTCTACATCATCCCAGCCAGGGCTTCGTCTAGCCAGGTCTTAAACACCTCCAAGAATGCAGATCGCACCACCCTGGGGAACTTGTTCCAGTGCTTCACCACCCTCCTAGTGAGAAAGTTCTTCCTAACATCCAACCTAAACCTCCCTTGCTGCAAGTGGAGCCCATTGCTCCTTGTTCTGTCATCTACCCCCAAATGAAAACAGTCCAGCTCCATCCTCTTTGCAACCCTGCTGCAGGGAGTCAAAGTCTGCTATTCAACCCCGCTCAGTTATCTCTTCTCCAGGCTAAATCAGCCCAGTTCCCTCAGCCACTCCTCACAAGTCCTGTCCCCCAGCCCCTCAACCATTTTCACTGCCCTCCACTGGACTCTCTCCAACTTGTACAGAAAGGAGGTGGAGTTAGCCTTCTTGCCAACAAGGGCACTGTTGTTTATTTGAGGACTATTATCAAATCCCACCTCAGTCTTCTCCTCTCTGGACCTGCTGCACTCAAAAGAGGGCTGGTTTCTACTTACTGCAGCCCACACAGGCACGATACCCATCAGTCCAGTGCTCCAGACACCCGGGTTCCTCAAGCCCCCTGCTGCTCCCTACCACACTGACCTGCCTGCGTGAGCTGGCGTTCCCCACGATGCAGGCCCCAGTCATTACATTTTCACCCAGGCCACTAGTGCTGATGCTGGGACCTGCAACGGTGCGGCAGCTGCGGGTGGTGTTGATGCGGGGGGTGGATGAGCTTGAGGACGAGGTGCCAGCGTTCTGGGCCCCGCTGCAGTGGGCCTGAATGGAGGCAAGAGAGAGATAGGGCCACCATGAGCACCTCCCGGAGAGGAGCCAGGGACCTCAGCTTGAGGAAACACCACCTTCTCCAGGGTTATTCTTACAGCCAGCAGCACCCACCCTGTCCCACTCACCCCAACAAAGCTGCTGAGGAGTCTCCATGAGCAGGAATTAGCCTTCCCTGGTGTTACAGGAGATCGCTTCTTGCCTCCTGGTTCGATGAAAGCATCTTTGTTTAGGGGATTATTTTTACCCCAGTAACATGATGATGTGGGGCCATTTCTACATGTAACCCAAACTTGGATGTGAATGGGCGGGTAGCTTCAGTTCCCCTCAACAAGCGTGGCTGGGAGACAGAGGATCGTCCCATGAGGCACTGGTCTCTGGGGGTGGATCTCAGCACCAGCTCATCACAGGGTCATCTCTTGCAGCTCGGTTTCCATCCAAACAAGCATCATCGTGCTCCAGAGCAAAGCCTGTGCCCTCTGCCCTCAGCATGGCTGGTGGTAGTTCTTCTATGCAGAGAACCTCTTGATGGACCTCATCCTGCTTCTCCTTCATTGCTGTCAGCAGGCTGGGAGGGGATGGGGGCTTCCCCATCCCAGCGTGTGGCCCTGGCATGGTCCATCCATCATCTGGGAGCCCCAGGCCAAGTCTCCCCATCTCGCCGTGCCCCACCCCCTCTCCCAGCGCGTGGCACTCACATGCTGGTGGTGGTGGTGGTGGATGCCCTCTTCGTCATCATCTTCAATCTCCCCGTTCACCATCCTGGTGCACACCAGCTTCGTCAGGGCCACCTCCTGCAGGGGAAGGGGGCAGGAGTCGATGTCAGGAGGCAGCAACAGCCTCATAGACCCCACAAGTGTCACTTGCCCCCTCCACTCATCCCTGCTTGTGCCTGGCACACAGAGAACTGGTCTCCTCCTGGCTCTCCTGCCATCTCACCTGTCCGTTGGAGTTGATCAGGGCAGTCCGCAGGCTGTCTCCGGTGCCCCATGAGTTCTGGGTCTTCCACACCAAGTCCGTGGGAGGGCTGTGGGTTGCACCGGCCCCCGAGCCCCAGATCTATGGGGAACATGGGCAGAGAATGGTCACACCTCGTGCCAGTAGTGCTACCGGGACCATAACCACCCTCCCTACCTCCTTCCTAGAGAGAACGTAGGACTTCCCCTTGAGCCCACTGAGGACGCTAAGAGTCTGACACCTAAAAGGAAAGGGATTTCCCACAGAGCAGGCCTCGACTTTTTGTTCTGTGCATTCTGGGTTCGAATCCCAGTGTCGGATAAACGAGGATCTCCTGTTCTCAGTGGTGGCAGATGACAGAACAAGGAGCAATGAGCTCCAGTTGCAGCAAGAGAGGTTTAGTTTGGATATTAGGAAAAACTCTCACCAGGAGAGTGATGAAGCACTGGAACAGGTTGCCCAGAGAGGTGGGGGAGTCTCCATCCTTGGAGGATTTTAAAGACCTGGCTGAACAAAGCCCTGGCTGGGATGATGTAGTTGGGGCTGGTCCTGCTTTGCGCAGGGGGTTGGACCAGATGCAACTTCCTGACGTCCCTCCCAACACTCACTGTCTATGATGCTCTGAGCACCCCATCCCATCTGGGTTGGCTTTGCTCAGCACAGGCCAGCTGAGAACCGGGCACCAGAGCCTCTGGGCATGAACCCTTTAATTGCGAACAGCATTCGCAACTCACCGTGACCACCTGGCCAGCCTGCAGGGTAAATCTGGGAGGGAAGCAGTAGGAGATGACGGGATCTTCTCCGTTCTGGTGCTTGATCTGCCAATTCCCCAGGGCCTGATCCTGTGAGGCAGAAGGGAGGGGGGGAGGGTTTAAGGGGGGAGACTCCCATCCAGCCTCAAGCCCAGCCTGGGTCTGCTTGGCATGGGCAGCGCAGCGGGCATCGCTCAGCGCCCGGCCCTACCTCGTTGGACTTGTTCTTGAGCCGCACGAACTTGCCGTCCAGGTCGACCTCCTCAACAGCCACGGGCCCACTGGTGTGGCTCTCGCTGTCCTCCAGCTTGCGTTTCTTGAAGGAGCTCTGCAAAGTGGAGCGCGCCATGAGGCTGCGTGAGCTGCTCTTCTGCGACGAGGGGCTGGGGGACAAGTGCAGCCTGTGGGGCAGAAGTGGGGGGGTGAGCGCAAAGGCGGGGCCAAGACTTGGCTATGCCCCAACCCAGCTCCTCCCCCTCTGTGTTGGCCACACCCTCAACTAGGTTCCTTCCAATCCTCAACAGCCTCCTTGGCCACGCCCTGAAGACACCCCTCTCCCCCCAACCTCGCAGACATGCCCCCAGTCATGTTCCTCCTACACTGACATTGGCCTTGCCCCCAACTAGGCTCCATCCAATCCCCAGCCAGGGCCCTCCTCACTCTCCTTGGCCACACCCCCATCAGGGTCTCTTAACCAAGCCCTTCCCACACTCTTTGGCCACACCCCAGCTAAGCTTCTCACCCACAGTCATTGGCCACACCCCTAGCATGGCTTCTTCCCATCCTCCTTGGCCACACCCCGCCACTAGACCCCTCCCCCCGTTAGCCACACCCACCCCCCTTCACC